TTTGATGCTTGACAAAAATGCTGTCAATTGAATGCGCTCTGAAGAAAACGCGCTGTGGAAATTGATTGGCAATGAGCCTTTTATACTTGTTTTTTGTCGAGTTAGTTTATGTCTTTTGACCTATGACAGTCATATGTTTTGTCGATAGGCGCGAACAGAGGTTTTTCAAATTTTAAATGCTATTTTGACATGTTCGGTTGCAATTTTCTCCCCCCTTGAATGAGAGGTTGTCATGATTACGTTAATGATATTATGTCCAATTGGGATTCGATATGTTTGTACGACTTCCTTTGCATCAATTTTAGAATGTTTGTATTTCGAGAAAAAACGATGGAATAATTTTAGCTGTTTCAGATATAAGTCACGCCAGAATTTATCGGTGGAACTTTGCGTTGATGATGTTGATGTCTGTTCAATTGTTGATGCGATTTGATTATTGGTTATTTCCGTCATCGTTGGTGAAGAATTTGTTGATGTAGATGCCGATAATGATGATGGTGACGTTGATGCTAATGTTGATGACAAATTCGTTAGCTGATTTGATCGATGAATTGATTGATTTTTGGTTGCGGTAGCTGATGTTGCTGTGACCGAACAATTTGATAGTTGACGCTGAACTTGAAATGATTTTGTTGTCGATGTTATTGGAATCGATGATGATGACGTTTCTTGTTGATGATAATGATTATTGATTAATTGTCGAAAATTACGTTGATTTATTTTTGTTGAATGCGGTGTTGATAAATTTTCTTGAACCAAATTGGTTTTGATTGATGTTTTTTCTTTATTTGTAGTCAATTGATTTTTTGGTGAAGTTAATTCCTTTGCAGGTCTTGATGCCTTACCTAAATTTTGATCTTTAAATGAGGACGCAGTTGATGCAGTCGATGGTGATCGTTGAGCTAAATTTGAATGATGATGAGGTAAATTTGTCAATTGAACATTTTTCGATGATGATCTAATTAATTTATGTTGATTAATCTGTATCGATGATGTTGTTTTCACATTGGATGATTGTTGTTGATTATTCTGATTGATATGATTGTTGAAATGTGAATTTACGTGATTTTTATTGATGAAATTTTGATCAAAGCGATTGTTGTTGATGATGAAAAATTTGGTTTGATTAATCTTTTCATTTTCGTTGTGTTTAAAATTGTTGTTGACATTATTGATAGTGATTTTTCGCATGACTTTATTATCTTCATAATTGTTTGTTGAATTGATATGAAAATTATTGATATTGATGATACGTTTAACAATTTCAGATGGTGAATAATCAGTTTGACCATGAACAATGTATCCAAGAGATGTTTTACCAATTATGAATGGATCGATATTTTTATCTACGTTGAGAAATTTGAGACGGTTTATGTCACTGTTGCCAAATAATATGTCGACTGGAATGTTTTCGTCGTTGAAGTTGATGTCGAAAATTTT